AAAAGAGAAGCATTATATAATTAACTATGATACAACTAATCTAGGGTTAAATATTTAGTATATAAAGAATCCTTTTGTTGATAAAAGGACGTAACAACACATATTATAAATTTTAATGATTGGTTATGACTCTTATATGCATGGTGGGGCACATGAGGAAATAGAAGAAATACTTTCTCTAAAAAAGCTCTTAAATGGCATATTAGGCAAAAGCTTAATAATCACGGCGATTACAAAGAAGTACACGAAGGACCACTCCTCGACGCCACAGAGAACCTGGGCAAGATGGAGGTCTTGCTTGCTATAGAAAACGTTATTGGATACAAAGAGGTTGAAACCGGGTAAGATAGCTATTAGTTACTAACAAAAATAAATTAATTAATGCCTTGTAATCTTGGTTACAATTATAAAAATGGAATCGGTGTTAAGAAAGATGAAAAGAAAGCTTTTGAATATTATTTTAAGCAGCCGATTTAAAAGGCCAGTTACGATGAACCATGTTGGTCTTTGTTATTAATATGGAAGTGAAGTAGAGAGGAATTACCAGAAATCATTTGAATATCATAAGAGATCTGCTGATCTGGGATCTACTATTGCAATGTATTCATTATGAATATGGACGTGGTGTTGATCAAGACTATAATAAAGCATTTGAACACTAGGAAAATCTGCCAATATAGCATTGCTCAATTTTATCGGGACGGCATAAGTACAAAGATATCTAGAGATCAAATTATTGGATCAAAATATAGAAGCCTATTAAAAACTAATAAGCTACCTGATAATATCAATCCCAAAATATTAGTTAATGAGAGATTTAAAGTGTCTTGGGTTGATTATAATAGGTCCAGAGATACCAAGAAAATTGGAAAGAGTTTGCAACTGTATATTAGGCACGCTGGTTCGATAGTATCAATAGTACGTGGGAAACTGGTGCATTTAAAGTAGTTCATGGTTCAAACGAAAATGAGCAAGAATTTATCCAAGAACTGAAAAATTACTGTGATATTGGATATAAGAATCCTTCATTCAGGAGTTGTTGTGAAGATTGCACTGAAAGATTGTTACAACAAAATCTTGTTGAAATAGCAAAATTGGAATGGAAAGATAATTGAGTATCTTACATAAAGTGAAGAAAGAAAAATTTGTAAAATTCTGCCATAAATAGCACCTGAAGTTTGGTGGGTCAACTATCATGGGGGGACTTTGGCGCTGGTCTTGAGACGATACAGAGGACTTAACAAGCAGTTGTAATAGGTAAAGTTGGTTTTATCATGTCATCAAAAAAAAAAAAAAAAATGTTAAAGATCCTGTACGACGCGTAAATACCCTGTTACTGGGGCGAATAAGTACCGTGCAGGGCACCCATAAGTCACGTAAATACTCTGGTACTGGGGTGAATAAGTACCATGCAGGGCAGTAAAAACATTAAAGATAAAGATCCTATAAGTCACGTAATACCCTGGTACTGGGGCAAATAAGTACCATGCAGGGCCACAAAAAAAAAAACATTAGTAATACTAAAAAGACATAAAGGAATTCAGAGTATTTCAAATAGAACCCTTATCAAAAGCAGTAAACAATGGACAATGGCATCAGTGGAAGAACTTGCACAATACTCCAGTCCATGCTGTGAGGGTTAAATTCAAAAAACAAAAGGAAAATTTTCAAATATTATGCAGCTAAATGATAAAGGGTAAGGGTGCTCGACGTTTTGCAGCGGTATCATTACAAGAGAGGTATCAAGGGATTTGCAAAGGGATTGGCAACTGTATATTTTGTGTGATGGAATTAATAATTCATGGTGGAAAGTCACACTTAAAGTGATCTGTGATCAAACAAAGATTTACAAGAGTTTACTTGGCAATTGAAGAATCATTGAGAAATTGGTTACAAAAATCTTTTGTTCTTGAATAGTTTAGGAATGCAAAATGATGAGAGATTTAAATTACCTTGGATGAATTCAAGAAGAAGGAAGTGAAAGATTCGTTAGTGCAACCTGTGTCAACGAAATTAGTAATAGATAGAAGGAAGTGGCGCTTAAGATGATTTGTGATTCGAACAAGAAAATGCAAGAATTAAGCCAGGAATCGAAGAGCTACAGCGAATTAGTAATTTTCCAAAACTGTCGATGGATCAAGACCTGAATGTTTAGGACCGGATTGTTATATTAAATTAGCTATGAAATGTATGACTAAAGACTTTAAGAAATAGACATGATTCGGGGAATTCAGCTCAGGTGATAGTGGATAGTTGAGTTATGAAAAGATAGATATTGATGAAACTAATTTTCAAGTGTAGAACCAATTAGGTGTTGTTGACTCCGGGGACGTGAGTCAAGTGGGGTCTAGCTCCTGTCACGGCCACAAGCGATTCTACGGCAAAAATTAGTCCGGACCTTGTACAACGAGTCTACGACGTCATACGGCAAGATTCGAGTTTGATAGTTTAATGCATGTAACCGATCAATCAAGGATCGATCAAGGCACATAAGAAATATGTGAATGAAGTAAAAGATAAGTATCGGATGATCAATTGATGATGTAATTGAGGTAAAAGAGAAGCATCGTATGATTAACTATGATGCAACTAATCTAGGGTCGAATATTTAGTATATAAGGAATCCTTTTGTTGATAAAAGGACGTAACAACACATATCATAAATTTTGATGGATGGTTACGACTCTTATGTGCGTGGTGGGGCACATGAGGAAATAGAAGAAATACTTTCTCTAAAAAAGCTCTTAAACGGCGTATTAGGCGAAAGCTTAATAATCACGGTGATTACAAAGAAGTACACGGAGGACCACTCCTCGACGCCACAATGACCAATGACTACAGGTCATATACGTAATGATAAGGGTCATTTAAAAAAAGGTAAAATGACCTGGTCATTTACCAACACTGGATTGTTAAGATATTAAAGACCAATTGTTTTTTTAGTAAGTGTATTATAAAAAAAGTTGTTTGTTGAAATATCTAATTGAGGCCATAGATCTGAGATCAATTGGTTGTTAATAATTGGATATATTTTAGTGATGTAGATGTGAGTTTGTACTAAAATTAAGTATGTGCTCATACGTATATATATAAATGATCAGGCCGGGTCAGTTGGGTTTTGAACATGATCCGAACAATGATACGATTATTTTTTGGGCTCGGGCCCGGGTCAGCTCAAACAAACCCAACCCGTCCACCCTAGCCTCACAGATATCAACTAATACTAAACCAATCCAAATCAACACACTAACGGCCAAAACCCTAATGGCAGAAGGCACGAAAGAGGCGTGGAAAGACTTGGTCCGAGTTATTAGGGCCAAATAGAGCTCTAGATTACGTCACGAGGCTCTACTTCGGGATCACGGGTTTAAACTACTAACTCTATGCGAATTTTGACTTATCAGGGTGGGATAATTGGAGCAAACCTCAAAGTCAAAATAATAGACTCTGATTGAGTCGAACTCTAATGAGTTATTCTTTATTGAATGTGAGCTCAAGGTTCTTATATACTAAAGCTTTACAGACTAATAATTGACTAAATAAAATCCATCTAATCTATCGACTCCTTTGAGTCAATGGAGTCCATGTAGAGTTCCTATCCATTATCCGTTTATCCATTTATCTATTGGATATCCAGATCTGAATTTATTCGGATATCCGTTTTACTATTGATATCCGGATAATTATCCGAATATTTGTCGGATTATCCGGATAAATTCAGATATGGATAAATGGATGACGGATTTATCCGGATTGGACCTCTAAATCCATGGAATCCATGGACTCCATGGAGTCGATTATGTCGATTTCTTCTCATATACTAACTATAAATGGAAATTCAAACCAAAAATAGAAATAAAAGATAAAAATAGAATTTGGGGTCGATTTTGCCTTTCACAACGTACGTACGTACGTACATACGTACAGTGCAGGAAACTGAAAAACTTCAATCACTTATATAGAATAAAGGTTAACTAACTCATTAAAGATAAACTAAAATTATCATTCTCAATAGCATGCTATTTTGCATATATATTGTTTTTTGTTTATTGTTTTTATGCAAAGAGATCCCTTCGCTTATTGAGATCGATAATTTAGGAAATTCATTTCCGATTTGCTACTAGTTTATGCATCATCTCTACATAGAATATTGAGGTTTTTTAAATTTCCTACACCGTACATGTTTAAAACTCTGTTACCATCAAAATTTAAAATACACCCTATCCTCTCATATTGTAGATACAATCTTTCTTATAAGAAGTTCTTTTGCGCTAAGATTCTTGCCAACATGGGTAATCATATATTTCTAAATATTTCTTACATCATTTTTGCAGGAAAATTTCTTACGAATTATCCTTGATTGAACTACATATCAACTACTTTATTTAATTATTGCAGTATATCTGTTAATTGACATGTTACTGGTCGAATGCCTAAATTTTATATGTAAATTGTGATGATATAAAACTTGAATTTAAGCTTTAAAAATTCATTCAAATTTAGTATTAAAGATTCTTTTTATATAATATGGGTATTAATTAATAGTAAGGTTACAAATAATCTTGTGCCTAAAGTCAACCGATTTTTGCTGTGTTCTTTAAATCAAAAAATTGGTCCAATATCAAACATTATACATGAATTTTTAAAATTATTAACTGTTTATATGAAGAATTTTTAAATACTAAAGAATAAATAAGCACTGTATTTACAGGTTAACTTTGCTTCTTTATTTTTAACCTTATAAATCTACATATAAAATTTAAATACGGCAATTCATTTGATCAATAAGCAATTAATCATACACAACATGTCGGCTAACTGATATGACAATGATATAAGATGGTGTAAGTGACGTTTTTTCTTATTTTCAAAAGAATGTATCGTTATTAACATAAAATTAATACATAGGCGATGTAAGCGTTATTATCCGTCTAACCAATGAAGGAACTTTAAGTTACGTAAATTTACCATCAAGCAATAAATTTGACTTTGTTAAAGAAATGTGTAATGATATTGCCACAGCTATTAATTGTGATGCTTCGCGTATAACAATGCCGACACTTTATCAATACAGTAATGAATATAATAATGGGGATCAAATTTTTATGCGTGTTAATATCGCCCAAGGAGATGGTCAAAGTGCATCTAGCCTAGCTAGTAAATTAAGTGAAACGATCGTTTACAAGAATATTTCAGAAATTTCCAATAGCACCATCCTTAATTACATTGACCAATCTAATGGTGCTTGGCTAATGTGTAAGTTCTCATAATATTCATAATATTCATGACATTTATAATATATATCTTTTTCCTTGCATATTTACCAATTATGCATCATTAATTAATTTCTATATATAGCTAACTTATGGGATAATTACAAATTTTTTCTTATTGGCATCTTTGTTGGACTTGCATTGTTGGGTATTTTATGGTACTTTGCATGCCGTAGGAACTACTCAGTGAGTAATGTATAAATTTGAACGTGACATGAGCTTTTTTAAATATCATATACTAAATATTTGTGATTTTTCATTTTAAAGGGATTTGGAAGGGCAATTAAACGGAAACATGCGATAACCAACTTCTTTACAATTTTTTTATCTACGCTAATAGTGGTGGACCTCATATTGGATATCTTATTTATTGTTTTTCATGGAAAGGATGAAAAATGGATTATGCTTGTAAGGTTTGTTATATTCGGAATCAAATATTCTTTGGACTTTTTTTCTTCGTTTAATAAGCTAAATATTGATTTATTTTTTTTTCAGCATTACATTCTTAGTGGCTCCAATTGGTTTCTGCACTCTGTTTTCGTTTATAATTATTGGTCGCGAGCTTGAAGAAGATAGATATAGAAAATGGTGGCAAACTCATAGTCGCACTGCTCTAGTTACAACGCTTTTATCTTGGTTTGATGTCGAAGCTTTGAATGTGGCTTCTTCACGTACTACTAGCATTGGTTCACTAAATGCTCCTTACTCACCAGATGCATACAGACGGATTTTCTATGCTACCACTTTTATTTTAATTATTGAGGACGTGCCTCAGCTTATATTTTTGGTAAACAAATTTAAAGAAATTAGTATATTTGTGCGTTTCTGTTAATGATAACCCTAATTTCATTTTTATTCATATAGACTATTTATCAAAATGCTACTATCATCCCGACCATTGGTCCTATTCTTGCACTTTCTTCATGTAGGGCCCTCATCTTAATTAGAATCATATCAATAATATATCTTGGATTCTTACATGTACGAGAATGGCGATATATGGATGAAATATTGAACGACGAACCTGGTAAAATCTTTTTTCTACAATACTTTTAATCAAAATTTTAGCTCAAATAAAATCTAAGCTTTTTATTTATGTACAACATCTTATTTTATAGATAAGGAAGAAAAACTAATAGGAAAATACACCGAAAATCAAGTAATGGACTTACCATCAGACGAGGGCCATTTCCAAACCAGAAGAACACAATATGTAGATGAAGAAAGCATTACCCAAATCAGAGAAGTACAAATTTATGCTCCTGGAACAATTACTACTACTTGTGAAGAAAATATTTACATCCAAGGTGATGCACCTGATCGACCACAAATTCAAACAAGACAAGGTAATGCTTTTCAAATAATAATTTTTTTCTTACAAATTTTTAACATTAATTCCAATCTTTTATTTACACATAAGATAATACTGAAGCTTTCGACATTGAAGAATGTTCTAATCCTGCTGGAATAAAAAAACAGTCATTTTATTTTTATAGCTCCAAAATTGCAGAAATTTTTGATATGATCGGCGTTATTCGCCCACCTTATTCGGAAGAGGCAGAGAAAAAAATTTGGAAATTAAAAAATATGAATGCAATAAGAATGAGCAATTAACTAAATGGAAAATTGATAAAGATCTAGTATATGTAAACAGCGAAAGATCAATCCGTTTTGCTGGTTTTGCGGACATTTGTGATGATTATCTAGGATTTCATTTACTACCTAACGATGATTTAATTGTGATTGCAATAAATTGCATCGTTATTTTTACTTTTGATGAAGATATTAAAGATGAAATACAAATTATCTATTATATTAATATCGATACATTTATGAATACTCAACAAAGTTCTGAGCACGAAAAAAAAATTGGCTCTTGAAGAACCTTTTGTATTAAAAAATTTGTGGAATGTTAGATATTTCAAACATGTATTAGATTTTATTGATAAAAAACCCGAGTCAGATATCGCGCAGCATTTAAGAAAGATGATAATAATGTATCTTGATGATATTCATACATTTTCCTGCTGTTCCCCATTTATTATGGAATCAATTGTGAAATATGATAAAAAAAGAAAATATAGAAAGCATGACAATGAAATAATCAGTCTAATTATTGATAAATGTATAAATTATTATAATGAAGATAATAGGCGATTCGATGTATTACGTGCTATCACAAGTTCAATTTCAAAGCTTCAAAAACTATATCCTTATCTTGTTACAAAATTTTTTATTGGTACTTCTATATTTAGTTCTGCAGATAAAAAAATTGATTATGTGCCTAATTCACATCTTGATGGCTCTAGAGTTGAATTTCCTGTTGAATTAAATATTGAATTGATTATTTTATCAGCAGCGGGCTATTTAGCCTATTAAACATTGGACTTTTTATTGCTAATTTGTCTGAGGTTCAAGCGAATGCATTTGAATGGTTTATTATAGTTGTAATTTTTCTTGGCCTCGTGTTAATCGTCATAATATGTAAAAAAATAGATGTATTAGACAGAGAGGTTTCTATCCAGCGGTTAAACTATTAATTCCTTTACCTAAATTTGCATCATATCCCATTAAATATAATTTATTCTCCGAATTATTAAAACCTGCTCCAAATGAATTTGTAAAAACGGCTTTACAAACAAAAATACCCATTATTTACTCTGATTGGAATGGAGAAGCACTTCTAAACTTCAAGTGGAATCAATTTGGAAAATATTATTATTATGTAATTTGGATGATGTATACCACCTTTCTCTTAACTTTTACACTAGCAATAAATGAACCAAATAGTTATATCTCTTTAGAAAGTCAAAAAACGCTATTAGTATTTTCTATTATTATTGGTTTTTTCCAACTATCAATTGAAATCCGCCAATTTATCTGGGATTGGAAAAATTACATCTTTAGTATTTGGAATTGGTTTGGTAAATATTATTACTTAATCTATATATTTTCAGAATCTAGAAAAAAATTTTACTGATAATTAATTTTAGTAGCATTGACATTTTAATTTTGCAAGCCTGTAAAATTAAAAATTCAAATTATTGAAATTGTTTAAATTGTTACAAGTATCTACTTTAGAGAAACTAGATTCTTCTTATTATGCAGTAACTGCATAGTAAATATACTACCACTATTGTACCTAGTAGAGATTGTATTCGTCAAGAAAATCTCTACCCGGGTATTATGGTTATCCGGATAATTTATAATTATAGCCATATAATAAAAATTCCTACCCGGATACAATCTCTAGTACCTAGCAGTAGCCTAATTGTAACCAAATAGTTACTATGCAGTTATTACATATTAAGAAGTTTAGGTTTCTCTAAAATATGATTTATTAAGAGTTTTATAATTTTTTCTAAATTCTGTTAAAATTCGAAATATATATATGTTTTTTAATGCTATTTCTAATTATATATTTTATATTTCTTTTTGATATATCTTGGAGCATACCTATTTCCAATTATATCATCTTTCACTTTATTAATTAATGTTACAACACCAGCGTGGTTGCTAGCTATTTCAAGCTTACTGTTAGATTTAAAATTATTATTTTTTTTTTAGAGCATTTGAGTTTTTGAACTTTGGTCTTTAATTTGCAATCATATTAGGTGTTGCAAAAAGCGTATTTTCCTTTTTAGTAATTCTAGTCTTCATTGTATTTGCATACGCTCATGCATTTTATATACTTTTGCATCCGACTAAAAATTTTGATGCTTTAAATCCAGTTTTTGATGATGACAAAAACAATCCCTGGAATCTTGCAACTACTTATAATCCTATAAATAATGGAACTGTAATAATGAATGCATCACTTATCTCATTGCCAAATTTAAATACCAATTTATATGAATATTTTGGAACTGCTCTATTAGCTGTATATAAATTAATGACAGGTATTATTAAACGTGAAATTTTTTTATTTAATGAAATGAAATTATTACTATTATTACAACTTTCTTTTATTAAAATATTAGGAGATACTAGTTCATTAACTGTCTGGGAATATCACAATAATATAACTCTTGTCTTTTTATGGATAACATTTTCATTCTTTATGGTTATTTATCTTTTAAATCTATTTATTGGTTTATTGAATATTGCTATTCAGGACAACAATTCTAGAGTTTTATTTCTACTTCAAAGAGCTGAAGTATGATGTTATTACATATATTCTAATTTAGCTTTTAATATTAATCGTTATACTCGCAAAATTTTAATGTTTTTTACGATAGGTGCTTGCTGAAATTGAATTATTTTATCTGCTTCCTTGCCAAAGAAGATGGAAATCTTGGTTTCCAGACAAAATGTGGGTTGAATATTCTTTACTTTTTGCTTACATTATAGCTAATTTTTTATTCTCTTACTTTTTTATAGTTTTTATTATGCGCATGTTGATAAATTAAAAAACAAGTTATTTAATATTAAAAATATTTATAAAGATAGCCAATACAAGCCAAATATTCAGAAACATCTTTTAAATCTTCTTCATATTAATGATGTAGAAGAATAAAATCAGAACCCCAGGAAGCAAAATAAAAGTAAACATGCCCAGTTTTTTATACGTATTAGTACTGTAAAATACTTAATTTTGGCGCAGGATGAATGGTTCTGACTATTTTTACAAAACATACTTCATTAAATATAAACAAGACATAACTTATATCCTTGCTAAATCATTCAAATATATTCAAATCTCTTAATACCTTAATTTTTTTTACAAATATTTAATAAAAAGAAATCTCTTAATGAAAATTAGAACTCAGCACTAGTGTTTCAACCTGTCTAAAAAACCATGACTCGGGTGACCTGGCGGGTTGACCAATGTTGGAAATCATATGTTCACGTTGTTCACAATGAACATAAATTTTTAAAAAAATCAAAATTTTTATATTTTATGTCACATAGTGTGAATATAATAAATCAAAATTTTATATTTTATGTTCACATAATGTGAATATAAATTTTAAGTTTTATAGTTTCTTGTTTATAATTTATTAATATAAAGATCATATTTATGCTACTTATAATTTAAAGAGTTTTTAATTTTATACATTAATTATTATAAATCATATTTGTGACCATATTTATTTTTATGTTAACATAATAAGAAAATATTATGTTCACAAAAATCATTAATTTTTTTTTGAATTTCCAACACTGGTGCAGACAGCGGGTTACCCGTCGGTCACTCGTGAATCAACCCGTCAATCCTATAATAATTGGCAATAAAAAAAGTTAAATTACGAATTTAAATACTGTAGTGGAAACGGAAAGTGTGTAAAATTAAGCTGATGTAATATTTCTGAAGCTTGGTGCCAGAATGCGAATCTCAGAAGATAGACAAGTATAGATGATTATATTAAAGAATTCAATTTAATGCTACGGAGTATGAGAGTGCAATCGATTCGATAATATTCAAAAAATTGTTGATAGAGTTCTGCGACCCTGGTTAGTTAGAAAACGAATAAGAATTGATGGGAAAATACAATTTAAGTGGAGTTTAAAAAACTGCATAGTTCTAAAAATTTATTAGCGTAAGTAATCGTCCACCCGGGTTAAACGGGTTACCCGATGACCCTGGTGGACTCGTTGATCCACCCGGGCGATCCGCGGGTCAACTCCAGTGTTGGAAGTTCAAAAAAAAATTGATGATTTTTGTGAACATAATTTTTTTTTTTATTATATTCACATAAAAATAAATATGTTCACAAATATGATTTATAATAATTAATATATAAAATTAAAAACTCTTTAAATTATAAGTGTTTATTAATAAGTTATGATCATATATATCTGATAAGGGCAGTAGCACTCTATTACACTTATATTAGCATAAATATGATCTTTATATTAATAAATTATAAACAAGAAATTATAAAACTTCAAAAATTTATGTTCACTGTGAACAACATGAACATATGATTTCCAACACTGGTCTGCACCCACCCGGGTGGCCATAACCACAACCGGATATCCGACCCACCTGGATTGACCCGAATAGAAACACTACTCAGCATAAGAACTAGTTTTAAGCAGAAATATAAAGTGTATAAATGAAATTTGATTATTTTTTTATATAGCTTTTGGTCTTGTTTTACTCGATCTCTATGCAAATTTTGGTATCTATGTTTCTTTTTTATATTTTTTTTATTGATCCTGGTATAACCAATCAATTACATTGTTAGAAATGTTTGAGAGTACCTTATTTGATGATTCTAATGATTACTTATTAATTGAAACTAAACCGTTCAAGTCACATTTACTATATGTTTTTATAATTTGCGTGCATTCTCAAGCATCTCCCTGGATACATATCTTAATGTTAATGGTGCACAATTATTATAGCATAATTTAGCTGCAGCTTAGCTCATCGACAATTAATTAATTTATAGACAATTAATTTACCGACAAGTTCATTTAACCACAGTTTCATTTCACAGACAAATTTTTTAAAAATTCACCTTAACTCTAATTCTACCCTAACTCTAATAACAATGACCAGAGTTAAACTGTCTGTGAAGTGATTGTCGGCGAAATACAGGTACATAGATATGGCAAAAAATTCGCGATCAGGTGATTTTGAACATTCTGAGCTTAATAATGCAACAAGAACAATTTAGACAGTTGAAGATTAAAAAGTAATAAATATAAATAATCTTGAATTTTATATATAGCTTATATTATTATTAATATAATATTT